ACACCAAAGGGGAAAAGAAGAAAAGAAATTTCAGCCCGGTCCCCAACCTTTGAGGGTAAAAACTTTAGGAAAGGTTGGCCAATAATTTGAAACGCGGAGATTGCCCGCCTTTTTTGAAACGAGCCACCTGCCGGCAGTCCCTCCGTTTTAGAAAGCGTCCCTCCGTAACAATGGAATAGGCAATTGGCCAACGCAATTATGGCCTAAAATGTAGGGGTTTCCCTGGGCAAGAAGTTCGGGAGGCCTGCCTGACTAGCGTAGTAAATTACCCATTTCTTCTTCTCTGCAGCCCCTATTTGGGCTTGAATGCCAGTGGGGCCATTCAGTCATACGCCCGTGGGCAACGTCCGGTTGGCACAGAAGGTCCGCCCTTGCGGTTTGCTCCCAGGGTTTTCGCACCGTATCATATGATGCTGTATTTGGTTGTAACAGATTATGTCTCCGATCGACCTCATTGCGCAGAGAGAGAGCTAGACTCTTTGCGCAATGCGGGAGGGGGCCTCCACTGAATACCATTTCGAAAGAGGAGAGGGGGTGACAATGGACCAAATGACAAGGGACATGGGAGCAATCATCAAACTGGCGAATGGACATTTCGGGTCAATTCCCGACCTCATGACGTGGATTCAAAGGGAATGGAGAATTAGATTTTTAATCTAACTCAGTTGGCTGATATGTTACCGGAGAGGGACAGCTGGATATTACCGGGAGAGTATCAGTCCGATTCCGGGGTTGGGACGATAGCTTCAATGCACATAGGAGTTTTCCCGTGCTTTGAAGATGTAGGAACACGTTGTTTTTCATTGTCCACGCCTCGCAGTGGAAAAGGGAGAACTGATCAGAACTCTCAAGAGGAAGGACCCTGATGACGCATCGTCCACTAGGATGCTGCTTGACACAAGAGTATTGGAAGTGGCGGTAGGCCACCTATGCCGAAGCGTCTTGAAGACGCTCCGCTCCGAGGAGCAGTTAGACGCAAGTGTCCGCGTAATATTCGGTGAAGTGCGAAAAGCCCATCTTCCTTCTCGCGATGCAATGCTGTACGGCGGTTCGCGGGGGGAAGCGAAAAGGAAGGAAATAGGCGCCTCCATTGTTCAGCTGAGACCCACGCTGGGCGCACACCTTATGACGTGATGGGAAATACAATCCACCCACACTCCCCATAACTGAGCCTCCGGAATTAACCGCTCCTATTTCTGTGAATTTAGGTGGACGTAGGTTAACTTTAGGGAAGTTGCTGGGGTGGCTTTGGCCCGCTGGGGCGCCGGGTTGGGATAAGGGCGAAGGATTTACGGGTGGCGCGACAACCAATAAATATAGATAATGCCGGGGTAGGAATCACGTAGTACCGAGCCTTCCTGAGAGATGTGAAGGATCGATCACTTGTATCAGAGGTAGCGAGGAGATCACTTCTTTCGTGAGGCGCAGGGGAGCACTTGCTTGTGAGCCGCGAGACACATGCTTTAAGGCAGTTTCGAGGCAATTATTCGTGCCTGGCCCCCGAATGCCACGCCGCCTCGCCACATCACAGCCCGACTGTCGTGTGACGACAGCGGATGAATGGGCCAGGAACGCAGGACAGCAACTAGTGAGTTTTGGCCTGACCGGAAAAAGCCAATGCGAGTACGACCGGGTGACGTGAAAAAACTATATCGCGAAGCACTCCGTCTAATGCGCCCGCGGTGCGTTTCCCTGCCGTGCCCCGAAACAAGCGCCGTTGAGAAGCCGCTGGTCGACGCCCGCCCTGGCCTATCGGGGCCGCCGCCGTGACCGCCAAGGGGCCCTCTCTACTCCTACAGACCTCTTCTACCCCTAAACCTCTCTACTCTACACCCTCTCTAACCCCTAAAACCTCTCTACTCCAAAACCTCTCTAGTTCCTACATCCCTCCTACCCTACACCATCTTCTCTCTACACCCTCTCTAATCGGGACACGTACTTCTACTCCTACACCCTCTCTAATCCTACACGCCTCTCTACTCCTACACCCTCTCTAACTTTCCGATAAGTCTGAACAATGATACCCGATTTTAGATCAGTAAAACG